CCTTGTTGATGAACGTAGGCCCCCCCCCCTCAGACCTGCCTCTCCCGCTGCTCTGAGCGTTACCAGGAAGCCTGGAACATTGTATCCAACACTTATCTCCGACGAGCTCAGCGGGAAAACGCTCTGTAGATTTGCTCAATATCAGTAACTAGAGAGAAAAGAGAGAGAGAGAGAGAGATATACTGCTGTATCATGTTTTTTTCACTATGAATTGGAGATTTGAGTCGGATCTTGATAATGAACGGGCACTGTAAAGAGTCTGGATGACCTGTGATGCGTGGGGGAATCGAGGAATTCATGAAAGGGGTGGAAAGTTGCTTTAGGAGTGGCTGATTGGGATAGTTGGGGAAGATGTCGCAACCAAATTTTGCAAAAATGTAATTACGGGATTAATAACTCACACTGTCCCATGTTAGGGTGCCCGGTTAGCTCAGTTGGTAGAGCGCGAGGCTTTTACGCTTGAAACCTTGAGGTCGTGGGTTCGACCCCCACATCGGGCGCTAGTAGGAATATTCGACGCTCCCCGGGCGAGTGTGTTTTCCACGCCAGGGGAACGTTTGATTTGTGCCACGTCTTTTTTGCCGCCGCAGACATTCTTCTCGATCGAAACTCGGGGTCAGAGTAGGCCTGACATCAAAGGACACCTGATCTCTCCGGCGCTCCTCCTTCCTCCCCTTCGGGGCCGGCCATCACAGCCAGGTGTGTGTCCCGATCGCATTGCTCCTTGATCAAGCATTGGTCCTTTTCCTCATACGAGACGGGGTCCACCCGTCTATGCAGCCGAACCACCCTTTCACCCCTTCCACAAGCAGATGCCACACGACCTGGGTTGCTTGATGACGGGGGGCGAGGCGGAGCACCAATCAGGGGCAAATCAGGGGCAGAGGGGTCTTGTTGCCAGTATCAAGAGATGGTAGAGCGAGCAAAACCCTGCAAAACAAAAAAAGGGGAGCCAGAAAACTGAGCTATAAACTGCGTGGATAACAATTGCGACGGGAACTTTTGAACCCCCCAAAACTTCCTGGTTTGGCTTGTCGACTTCAACATGCAGGTGACACGCGACCTATGATGATCATATCTGGTTTCTTGATGGGGGGCGGGGAAGAGCTTGCAATCAGTCAGAGGCGTCTTGTTGCCAGTGTCAAGAGTGAAAAGATGGAAACCCCTGCGAATAAAAAAAAAATTGGGTGAGCCATTGCGATAATCGTTTCGACAGGACCATTTTGAACCCCCCAAAGCTGCGGGTGATGGCTCGTCAACTTCCACAAGGTTATGACAAACAGCCGAGCTGCCAATGATATTTGGTTGCTTCGTCAAGGGGGGCAGGGCAGAACTCGCAATCAGAGTCATTTTTGCCATCGTCAAGAGATGGCAGATTGAGCAAAATCCTAGGAAAAAAACAAGGGAGGCAGAAAACTAGGCGCGGAATCTCCAAACAATTACTTGAGGTGTTTCGACGGAAACATTTTGAGCCTCCCAAAGCAGCCTGCAGGAGATGGCTCGTCAACCTCCACGCTCAGAAAGTGATGCACGACCTGGCCAGCAATCATATTTTGTTGCTTGGAAGGGGGTGGGGCAGAGCTCGCAACCAGGGTCAGAGGTTTCCTGTTCCCAGCGTCAAGAGACCGTAGAGCAAGCGAAACCCTGCCAAACAAAAAACATGGGGAGGCAGAAAACTTGACAAGGGTGCTCCTTTGGTACAGTGCGCGACCCTTGATCTGCAATAAAATATTTCGCAACACATGAACTTGACGAGAGCGGAAAGATTCCGAAGGTGTTGATTCCAAGTTCAAGAATCGAGGCAGGTGTTTGGGGCTTTGCTTGCGCATCTATGCAGATCTGCACCTTGTCGGGACTATCAGATGTTGGCTGGGGGTTGCATGGAGCATGCGAAAACTAGCCGACCGTAGGAGCACCGGAGGCGGGGGTTGAATATGATCAAATGATAACAAGGTGGGGACTCGAACAGATAGCTGCGACAGAGGTATCAGCTTTCAATGCGCTGAGCCATTGTATTGCTCCTGGCTGTTGTCTGGCGGATCTTCCAAAGTTATATTTCACAAAGGTGGAGGGAAATTGCTTGTTGCCGCCTCTGGTAAATGATAATTGCTGGGCGAAGGAAGGCTTCACACAACGGGACACTGCGAACATCCCCCGTCCTAGTGTCCGAGAGATGAGGTGCTTTTAGCGATCTGCTCGAACCGCACGAGGATCAGTGCCCGGTCGTTCGCTTCGCAGCATCAACACGGGCGTCCCTGCTTGGCGGCCCACGCCTGGCGAGCTACGTTTGCTCTCTCGTCTTCAAAGATATGACCCCGCCCGATTTTGGTGAAGAATTGCCGGTCGACCTCCTCCGGTTGTTCTCGGCATTCTATTGTCCGAAGCTTCGCGCCTTCGAATGGGAGCCCAGTCCGTTCTTTCTGCGGTCGTGGCCTGTTGAGAGTTTTGCCATCCTCTTTCGCGCGTGCCCGGAACTGGTCGCCCTCGACTTTCAAATGGATTGTATGACATTCGAGCCTTACGAACCCGACGAATACGATGTGGTGTCATTCTGGAGGTCTGCCCAGGGGCTCGAGGTTGAGGCAGGGATTAGGGGGAGAAGCGGAGAGATTGCTGTTTTTTTTTCTTTCTTTGTATACCTTTGAGGGATGCGAAGCGGGAGGTCGGCAATCCGCCCGAGACCGAGCATTTGATTGGCCCAGCCCTTTTTTTCCTCTCCTCACCCAACCTGGTGAGCAGGGGTCTGCGCCGCCTAATCATTGGAGGCTGGCGCCACCTCGACAAAACGCGCCTTCAACAATCGCCATCTGCCACCATTCGAGGGACAGACCAGAGACACCCATGTTGCCCCCCCCCCCCCCCCCCCCCCCCCCCCCCCCCTGCCCGTCAGGCAAATGGAAAATGTCTTTGCACAGCCGAGAGGTTGCTCGTGGCGCATTCTAACAAGAGCGGTACTGGGGGGGGGGTGGGGCGGGGGGGGGGGGGGGGGGGGGGGGGGGGGGGGGGGGGGGGGGGGGGGGGGGAACGAGCGGTCCTCTCCCATATATCAACTGTTGCGGCCTTTTCCTCCATCCGCCTAGACGTCCTCTTCGCCATCACCCTCCCCTGCCCTCTTGCACTTCCAAGCCTCAGCACTACCTTCTTGCTTACAGACGAAAAACTGCCGACCTCTTCATGGCACTTGTCAGAGCTCTATGTGTCCTCCATCTTTCTAGCGGCACTCCGCTCCTTCTTAGTCTCTTCTCCCTTACCCTGAAATCCTCCATGCGCCCGCACGCCTACGCTTCCTGGCCCCTAATACCGTTCGGTCGACCTCTCTGCCAAAGCCCCTGAATATTTTTCCCACTGTCGACTTGGCAAGTGTATTGAACAAACCATGCAGCCCCCCCATGCACCCCACAACCAGAAACTTGAAGTTCGTGAAAATTGGAAGGGCGCCGAAGGTGCTGCTTCCGGAAATCATAATAAGTGATTAGAACGTTGCTGTTCGATGCTGCTTAGGGCTCAAATAGACCGGGAGGCCTTTAGGCAGAGACCTTGAGGTCGTGGGGTTGAGCCTCACATCGGGCATTTTTGGAAGTTACGTGAATCTGTTCTTTTGCTTTCCAACGCCCAGATCTTTTGGACGAAGCTTGCAGGCCTTTTCGCTGCACAGTTTACCTCGAATATCCACAGCTTTTCGACGAAAACTGGGGATCAGAGCCGGGCTCGCCTGATGAAGTGACTTTCTTCAGACTGTCCTTGCAAACGACCTCTCTCGCTGCTCCTCCCGTGTTCCGCACGCCCATTCGAAGACATATACCAGGCGGTGTCCTGTTCGCGTCCCTTCTTGGTCAAGTTTCTTCGTTTGAGATGACTCCACCCGATACTCCTTCTCCAGTGTCAATGCAACCCGAACCCAAATGGAGCCCCGGCGCGCACTCATTCCTTCGTCATCGACACTCCGGCGATTCTTCACAAATGACACCCAAAGTGTTCGCGATGTCCGAGCGTGATGTGTCTACGCAGAGATGGATTGTGGGTTCCATGTCCTGCGTAAGGATGGGCCCCCGTCGTACGCTGGTCGCGTAGTTTTTGGTTCTGGGTGGCTTTTTTTTTTTTTTTTTTTTTGCAAGGCTGCTGGACCTCCAATGTGGTTCCTTGCTCATGAGCTGCCTGTCACGGAGCACGACGACAGAGTTTGGTCGGAAGAATCCCACAGCATGGGTGACGGCGAGGACGATCGATTTGCCTCTTCCCCTTGCTGGAGAACTGCAGAAGACTGGTGACGGCTACTTGTCCGCGGCTCGTTGATGCATATGATCTATTCGAGGCCATCCAATCCGATTCAAACCTTGGATGCGCGCGTCGAACAAAAATTATTCCATGTTTTGCGTGTTCGAAGAACATAGTGGAACAAGTGGCATGGAATAACGCGTTATTCCACAAAATCCTGGAATATCCTGGGGCCTTCTTAGTGAGCTTTTTTCCGGAGGAGGGGGGGACCGAGCTCCCAGTCGAGTTCAGGGGAATCTGATGCTAATCGCCAGGCGGGTCCGGTTCGGAGCGGGAACTGCAGGGAGAGGATGGCGTCGGCTTCATTTTCTATGATCGTTTAGAGGTGGTGGCTGCGGCGAGCAAAACAGAAGTAATCCTTACTTGAACTTACTTCTGGGAAATGCTGGAGCGGGTCTCGAATCCGCCAGAGCTGTGACACACGTCGACTTCTACACGGGGCTGCTGCTCTTCCCGGCCAGTGGGTGTTCATTTCCTTAACCAATTTTGCACGGCGGTATCAACCCTACCTCCATATCACGATTCATGAGACCACTCCTTCTCTGACCGACGACAATGCCAGCGGCACGGGTCTGGTCTGTCGCCTCCGGTCTCTCGTTGGCAAGCGATTTGCCTTGCGCTCGTTCCGACCGCTCACAACCGAAATGACCGGACGATGTGTCGATTTGACGCAAGCGCGACTTTCAGTTTTTCAATCTGGACGCTGTTTTGCGACGGAGGGCGGAAAACAGTCACACTCACTTCATAAGCAAGCTCCCCTGAACCTGACGTTCAACAGTCGACGCCCCGCCGGGAGACTGATCGGAATAGCTGGACTGCTCCGATCCCGCGCCACCATTCCAACTGTCTCACCTCAGCGGCAACCGTGGGGCCTTTGCTTGCTTTGCATCTTTGCAGAGCTGCACTCGAGCAGGGACCGATGAGATAATGGTTGGGGTTGTGAGGAGTTGCAAAAACGTGCTCATTCAAAAAGAACGTTGGTTGCGGTTGCGAGTAGTTGTGCTTGTCAAAAAGCAACTCCGTCGAGCATGGAACGTCGTAACAAGGGACACGAACCTTGCGAGTTGCGACGGAGACACCAGCTTTCATTGCCCAGAGGCAATCATTGCCAGGCGGAGTCCTGACTCAGGCGAACGCTTCACACGAACGTTCGCGGAAATACCCCATCGGGTTGGGAAGCGGCCCGGATCGATTTGCACGATCCGCATCTTTGCAGAGCTCCGGA